AGCCATGGCACCGAGTGAGAGATGGCTGCCACCTCCATAGGCAGCGCCGAGGGAGAGCGAGCTTTGATTTCTTAACTGAATGCTTTGTCCTCCAGGGAAAGGAAAGAGATTGGTCTTAAATTTCAGAGTTCCTTCTTTGATAACTTGAAGTGTCCAGCTAGGGTCTCAGGAAGGGATTTGTACAGACAGACACAGATATGGATAGACTACTGACTAAAGCCAGGTTCTGTCTTTCTAACAATAAATTAGATGACTTGACTGTCCTGTGGCCCTTGTGGCTTTGGAGGTATTGGGAATCCCATGTGGTTTAATTAGTAGGAATTAGCATACTATATGAAGAATTCTTCTTTCCTATATGGACTTGACATCAACTCTCGTAGCAAAAAAAGAGTGAATTCTTTTAAAATCAGAAAGTCATTCATTTCTTGGCAAATTTTAGGTTTCGTTTAGCAGCCCCAGAGCTCATGGAGTATGTCATTTGAGTTATTTAAAATCTAAACCCAAACTTGTAATTCTCAATGGTTTACAACAGCTGCAAAGCGAGAATGAGAAGTGTGGTCTGGTTGCTCTGACAACGAGGCCCCGGGCACAGCAGGCTGAGTTGTGCACTGACGGCTCTCTGCAAAGGCCTGTTCCTTTGCAAGCAAGCTAATCTGAGCAGTAGTCTAGCGCTCTAGGTAGCAGGAGTCTACATCCGCCCTCAGGGCTGTGTAATGTCACACTTACCGACAGGGCAGTGGTTCATGCGGTACTGTGTGGGCTTTGCTGCAGACTGGGGAAGCAGGGAGAAGCTCAGTGATCCTGTGCTTTGTAATTTGATGGGCCCATTGCCTTTATTTCCTGGAGAGATCCCAAAGAGATAAATTAGGAGGGACAGGATTTTACTTGTGATTAAAGAGAATTATCTTTACAAGACTTCTTTGGCCTTATGCTCCCATTTCTTCCTCTTCTGAGAGTTGCTTCATCCAGAGAAATGCAACCACAGTCCTGCCTTGTTGAGTTCCCTGACCCTATTAAATGCTAATGAGGGCCGCCACTTACTGAGCTTTCCCTATGTGCCAGGCATGGTGTTCAGCTTCTTTATGTACAGAGTCCGTGCTTTACATGCACTATCTCACTTAATCCTTGTGACAGCTCTATGCAGCGGGTGTTAACATAGCTTCACATGCCATGTAGAAGAACTGAGGCTTAGAGATGTTAAGCAACATACCCAAGTAGAGCCTGACCCCAACCCAGGGTTTGTTACTCAGTTAATGGTAACGCCAACCATGCAGTTACTCCAGCCAAAGAGTGAATGATCCTTGATTCCTTCTTTCCTTCACCCTCACATCCACTCTCTCAACAAGTCCTCTTGACCTTATCTCCTAAATATGTCCCAAATCCGGCTACTTCTTCGGTCTCCACGATACCAGCTCTGCCTACTCCCATGTGAGCCCTTGCCTAGAACACTGCAGCAGCCTCTTACACTGGTCTTGCTCCCAGTACAGTCCATGATATTGGAATAATGTTTAAAATCTAGATTCGATCCTACCACTCCTGTTTAAAGCTGCCCGCTGCCTACCCAATTGGAATAAGAAAAATCTAACCTTTACTATGGCCCACACAAGGCTGTGGGTTTGAGTTCCTGCTGCTTCTCTTATCCATGTCTTCTTTTCTGTCCCTCACACTTAACAAGCTCATTCCAGCCTTTGCACCAGGTCACCCTGCTGAGAATGCTCCTCTCCAGGTCTTTGCCTGACTAGCTCCCTCTTACTTGGGTCTCTGCTCATCTATCACCTCTGCAAAGAGGCCTTCTCTGATCACCCCAGCCCACCCCTGTTCCTAAAGTTGATTTTGATCACAGTACCTCCCGACCTTATCAGTCTTGTTCAGGGCTGTATCCGTAGTGCCCAGAAGAGTGCCGAGAACAGAGTAGATGCTTGGTCTGTAACTGTTGAATGAGTGGCAGACAGATGCTATTCTTTGCCTGGAAGGCTCTGGCCTCCCCCACCTCACTCCTCCCACCCTTCACATGTTTAACTCTGGAGTATCCTTCAGGTCTGGCTCAAACATCATTTCCTTGGGGAAGTTTTCAGTGATCCTCTATTGTGTCCCTTCGTAACAACCTTTACTTTTCCTGAATAGCCCTCATCACACACTTGTGTGATTATTTGGTTAAAGTCCCTCTTCCTCACTGGACCATAATCTTCATGAGGGTAGCGGGTGGTCTGTCTCGCTCATTGCTTTACTCATAGTGCCCGGCACGTCCATTTGTGCGTGGGTGAATGGAGAGGAATGAATCAGGTTTTTTGCATCAGCTTGGTCCATACTTGGAATGTGTGTGTCCCAAATGAATGAGCAAGAAGTTCCTTAGTACCGATGTCTCCCAGAAATCCCATTGGGATGTTAATAGAGATGGACCATGGAAAACAGGAAAGAAACCTTGGGACTCTTCCGACCGTGACACTGAGCAAGTGGCCCATGCGTTACACCCCAACTGCCTTTCCAATGCTGCCTTTTATGTTTTGCTTCCTACATCTGTCTGTCAGACACATCCCCAGGGAGAGCGGAGCCCAGGAACACCCTCTATTCACTTGACCGATGTCCACTTTTTGTCATGATTTCCAATAATGCATTGTTTTTAAAATGAAACACAGCTGTGTGTAATTGTGAGCTGTTATTGTCAACTCTGGTATACTTAATAATATAGGAAGAATGTTTAGGTTAAAAATTTCATAAATCCTTATTCTGTCACTGAATGGTTTTGAACGAAGCTTTTAACTTCATTTGTTAACTTGCTCTCCACATATTCAAAGGGTCAGCAACTCAGAACACAGAGATTCAGCTCAACAGTATGATCCCAAAACCCACTGTCGAGCCAGTGGGATCAGGAAGCCAACATTATTAACGAATGTATCATGTTATTGAAGCTTAGGCTTCGTAGGTGCCCATTCTCACCATTCCTCTTTCCCTGGACTATTAGCAACCCTTATAGAGACAAATAAAGCTCAGAAATAATATTTTCAAAAAAATATTTCTTTCTAAAAATAGCCTCATTTCTAAAAATAAATAGCTTTAAGTTTATAGGAAATTTTTTTTTTTTTTTTCATATGAGGCAAGGAAGCCAGAGCTCTGAGTGTCTAAATTGGAAATGTTTGCCTGGTTGTTAGACCGTGTTGTTTCTCAGCAGGACACCACAAAAATCATTATCCTACTAATGATTACCTGGAGCTAATGCATTTAATCACAGGCTTTCTTCATACACCCAGGCTCTATCTAGCTGTGTAGTAACATCCAAGTGCTTTGGCCAAGAATCCAGTCGTTTACGTGTGTGTAAGCAGAATTGTCTTAAAGTCTAATCCAGACACAGACACAGGTGTGGTTTGTTCCTTCCCCCCCCCCCTTAATATCTTTAGCTGATACCCTGGTACTGGCACTCGACAGTCATTCACACTGTAGTCCATCTGCTGTCCCTCTTGGCCGAGGAATTAGTTCAAGTTTCTCTGCTGAGATATGCTAAAATGTCACAAGCACTTTTAGAAACTCCCTCTGCACCTGGTTTCTTGTCTCCAGAGAGCCGTTCCTTGCCCCTTCCCCTTGTCTCCAGCACCAGCCAATTCCTTTTATCCTGCTTGTCCCCTTACTTTATTTTCTGCTAGAACTCCCAGCTCCCTGGCACAAACAACATCTCAAGGTCAAATTTGTAGAAAAATTCCAAAGAGCTGCCTCGATTCTGTTGTTGCCCTGGAATTACCATCACCAGTGTCCCTTGTATGTATCATGTGCTTCTTCTAGGGTTTCACACACTTTATCACATTTGATTTTTTAAGTAGTCCTGTGACTGTGTCCTCATTCAGCAGATGAGCCTGCTGTGGCTCCGAGAAGCTAGATGACTTGGCCAAGGCAGCAGAGTTGGAGCTAAAACCTCCCTCTCCCGCCTCCAGCTTTCCCACTGGCCTGTGGTCCCACTCGATGTTGTATTTTGAAAGAGTGCTCATATTCAGAACCTGGGAAGTAATTTTTCTCAAGGAGATTTTGTTGTGGTTGTAATGGGACTTATTTGGGAAGGGACTTTTGTCTATAATCTAAAACACATAAGATTAGTTTTATAGTTTGTGTCTTTTTTAATTTTTTAAAGGTTCAGGTGGTGAAGAGGCGGCAGTATCACTATATTATTTCTTGAGGGTTCAAGATCCATTGCTGAGCATGTAAAAGAGACAAGGCCTTGCTAATTTGCCCAGGCCGGAGTCCAGTGCTGTTCACAGGTGCAATCCCACCGCTGATCAGGGAGTTTTAACTTGCTGTTTCTGACCTGGGCCAGTTCACCTCTCCTTGGGCAGCTGGTGATGCCCCCACTTCCAGGAGGTCACCATACTGATGCTGAATTAGTGCAGACACCCAATGGGCATAGCACACTTCATCCCAGAAATCCTGGGCTCAAGCAGTCCTCCTGCCCAGCCTCCTGAATAGCTGGGACTGCAGGTGTGTGCAACCACGCCTGGCTATAGTTTGTTCTTGAATTCAAACCCATCTGGCATTTTGATTCATTGATATTTATGGAGCATCTATTACATGCCTGGCACCAGATATAGGATGGGGAAGAAGACAGACATGATCTCTGCCATCATGGAGTCCAGGGAAGAGAAGACAAATAAATGAGCAACTGCAATATTTTAATAAATACCTGGGTAGAAGATGTACCAGGTGGGATGATGACAGGAACATCTAACGCAAACTTGACAATGGGGAAGGCTTCCCAGGATAAGGGGCTTCTGGTTGGAAGACTGAAGGATGAGTAAGGATTTTAGCCAGATGGGGATTTGGTCGGGGTGGGGTGGGCAATAAGTGTTCAAGAAGATTGGAAAGCAGCGTGAAGGCCTGGAGGTGGGAATGTGGTCCATGTTGTCTCAGTTCTTGCTCATTAGATCAGATTTCATGATTTAGCTGTTGGGGAGACTTCGTAAAAGCAGATCAGTGGGAAAGCTCAGAAAATACATAACCTCGTTCTCATGTCTTAACAGAAAAAACTCGAATCTCCACCCCCATCCACCAATCCCTTCCTGGAGGATGAGCCAACACCAGAGATGGAGGAACTGGCCGTGGAGAAAGGAGATTTAGATCACGTAAGTCTGGTTTGCATTTCCACATGTGACCTGCCTAATGCTTGCTTCTGAAGGTGGGTCCACTCGCTCTAAATGCGATCCTTTGTTTGTTGACCACATTCAGAGATTACAACTTTGGTGGTCTTCATAGAAAGCCTTTATCTGAAAGTGCATTTAGAAAACTAAGTGAAACTGCAGCCCGTCCTGCCCCACTTCCCTGCTTCCGAAGAGCCTCACCACCGCAATCAGCAATGCGCACAAGCTTAATTGCCCCATGAGGTGGGGCGGCCGAACTCTGCCCTGCCTCATTCATCATCTTCTGAACTTGTTGGCCTCGCTTTCAGCTGTACTCTTACCTGGCCCAGTGAGGGCATGAGAGGCTGAACGACCCCCGGTGAAGTTAGCAGTACCATCGGCTAGGAGAGGCCTCTGCTCCCTGTAAACCGACCAGTGAAGGCCTGGGAGCCACTGGGGATGCCTGGAAACATCAACGTGACCCGGCAGCGCATTTGGAGAGTTACTTTTCAGAGCACACTAGCACTTTCATTGCCCTTGGATTTTTCTGTCCAACTCTAAATTTCCTCTCCCTTCATCCTACAGAACAGCGTTTTTATTTCACTGCCATTTTATGACAAGAGGGGTTAGAGCAATAAATCAGAACTTTTTCTGTCTGGATTAGTGATCCTTTTAATTTTCTACACTTGGCTCCTGAAGAATTATTTTATAGTATTGCCTTGCTCCAGACGCCATCAAAGGGAGGCTGGCTGGGAAGAGCAGCCCCGGGAAGCCCGTGGCCACACTCTTTGCAGCCAGCCCCCGTGTTCCTGGCGCAGCGAGGGTCGGCGTGCAGCCCTGGCGGGAGCCCGCAGGGCAGCCTTTCCAGGAGCAGTTCTGAAGTGAGGCGATAAAATGTGTCTGGTCCATTGATTAAATAATTGTAATAACATGGATACCTCACATTTTTATGGTGCTTTCTAGTTTAAAAGTCTTTTACATGCTTCATTTCATTTCATCTTCACTGTGCCTGCCTCATTTTATACGATGTTCTATGAGCTGCAGTGCCTGCCGCTCAGAGAGGTTAAGTGATTTGCCCAGGGTTACAGAGTCTGGAAGTGGAGTAGCTGGGACTGGAAGCCAGATCTGCCAGTCAGAGACTAGAATTCTTTTCTTGGGGTTCTTTTTATTATACTGTGATGTCTCAGTGCAAAATAGAGAACATAGAAATGAATCCCATGAATAAAAGTGAATGAATAAAACTGAGGGGGTAGCTTAAGGCTGTATCCCAGAGCTCTGTGGGATTAAATGTAATTGATTTAATACCATCCTCTCAGCCAGCATGGGAGAAAACGAGATTTCTTCTAACATTTGGAAGGAAGGACTGGGCTGGGAAGGAGGAATCTGGATGTGGAGCTCATTCTTCTGATGTCTGTCCTCCACCCACATGGGCTCACCTGCCCCCCTGGAACTTCCTTTGTGTAGTCGTGTCGTTTTCAGGGCCCTCATGTCTCCCCAGTGCTGGTGACTGCCGTTGTCATGCTGAGGACCATGGAGCTGAGCACTCAGATGCTGTAGTGCTGCCGTGGAAAGTTGTCCTCTTAGCTAGTCATCTCTGGATGTTATTACACGGGATTAGGATAGAATCCCCCATTACCTACAAAAATGTTTTGGTTTTTTTTTTGCCAGGTAAAATATGATTTTTATTTCTCATGAAACTTTTTGCTCCTTCTGGAAACTCAAGTTTACTGTTGTTTAATGACCAAGACCTGCTCATTCCAAGGACACAGAACACAGATACATGTGGTAAAGCAGAGTCCTGTGCTGGAGAGAATGCCAGAGTCTGGTCTGTCACTAACTGGCCCATGTGACCATCAGTAGATTTTGACTCTCCCCAGACTTCCCTAGTTTCTCCATCTTTAGAGAGAACTGATGGCCCTGACCGGCGTGGCTCAGTTGGTTGGAGCCCTGTCCGGTAGCCGCAGGGTTGCGGGTGTGGTTCCCCAGTCCAGGCATATATGTACGGGAGGCAACCAGTTGATGCTTCTCTCTCGCATTGATGTTTCTCTCTCCTCCATCTTCTTTCTCTAAAATCAATGAAGAAAATGTCCTTGGGAGAGGATAACAAAAAAAGAAGAGAGAAAAAACTAATGGCTTTCAAACTGATACCTTAGTGCCCCCATCAGATGTCACTGGAAAGTTGGGAGGAGACCAGGGTCCTAGGTACCTCTAAGCAAAACAGTTCTATTATGAGCCACTTTTATTGTGGACTTCCAGGTAAAATTTCTGTTGAACCAGGAGTTTTATATGTGTTTAAAAATGAAGTCCTAAAAATCCCTAGACTAGATTATCTACTTGCAATTTCACAGGCTATTGCTGGTTAGTAATAAAGCTTACACACCAGTGACTAATGCCTCCTCGCATACCTTCCCCGACCTTGCACTGCCTCACCAGCACTTGTCTTGCCTGTGATTAATTAGGTGGGAGCTCCAGGATCGCCCTCTTCCCGGCCACTTACTGGCTTCCGGAGTTGGGTGCACAGGAGCCCGATGGGGCCCTGGGGAGGAAGTCCACAGGATGCTGTGGCGAGCTTAGCTAGAGGTGGTGGGGGAAGGCCCCTAGTGGTTATCCTGGGTTACCCAACCCATTGCAGCACGGCAGTCAGCGGGCAGTTTGCCCTCAAGGTAAGGCTCACGCCCTGCTCTCTACTGTTTAGGTTATGGTGAAGGGACAGTGAACTTGAAAAGAGGCTTTCAGTTTCAACAGTCAGTTGCCAACAAATTCCCAATGATAAAAAGTGGCATATGAGCCCTGGCTGGTGTGGCTCAGTGGATTGAGCACTGACCTGTGAGCCTAAGGGTCCCCGGTTCAAGTCCCAGCCAGGGCACATGTCTGGGTTGCAGAACAGGTCCCCAGGAGGGGGCGCACAAGAGGCAACTGCACATTGATGTTTCTGTCCCTCTCTTTCTCCCTTCCCCTCCGTCTAAAAATAAATAAAATCTTTTTTTTTTAAAGTGGCATATGAAAATAGACTCAAGTATAAAAGAAAGAGGGAAAAGAAATAATGGATTTCTGGTTAAAATGTCCCCTTCTGGTGATCCGAGCAGTTAGATTTAATCTGTTGACGTTGGATAGTAATAAAAGGAAATGGGGCCAGCTGCAGACCTCCTTACTGTGACAACAGTAACCTTGTATTATTCCATCAAACTCCAGGAGGAAATAGCTTAAACATCTGCAGCTTTTGGACAGAATTCACACACTCAGAAATCCAGCCTGAATGCTACTGCTAAATGACTTAGTATACGCTTTAGGCTGAGAATCAACCCTTTGGGGAGCTGGACAGTGCAAAGGGAGACACCAGCTTGAGCTGAGATTCCAGCACCTATTATTTAAACATGAGCACATTTGTAAAGCAGCTCTAGGCAGGAGGTAGCCCTGTGGAAAAGAAGGAAACTTCAGCAATCTTGCCTATTGTTCTCCTCTTCCTTCCCTCTCACACTGAAAACGCTGTGAGAGGACCAAGAGCCGTGGTGACAGGGCTCTGTTCTCACTGCCAGGGGTGGCATTAGTGGGCCGGGGCTGCAGAGCGGTCACCTGCAGGCGGGGCGGGGACGTCTGCTCTGCCCAGTCACACCTCTCTGAGGGCCAAGCTCAGAGTGTTCTGCGGGGCCTCACTCAGCACAGGGCCTGGGGGAGACCGGCCAGGGTGAGTGTGTGACAGTAGCAGCCCTTTTCTTTTATCCCTTAGAATCTGTATTTTACACTTACACTGAATGAGCTCTTCAGGCTTAGAGGTTTTTATCATATGTCACTTTTGTGCATACATGAAAAGGAAAACATTAGCAAAATAAAATAGGTTAAGATATCCCTAAAACTTATTTACCTTCAGAGTCCATCTCTCCTGAGCCACTTTTTTTTAAAACTTTTTATTCTGGAATAGGTACTTAAAGATCCGTAAGTGGTGACAGCTAACATGGTACATTATCAAAGTCACGAACTTGATGTTATTAACCCTTTTTTTGCTTAGGCGTGGGAGTCTGTACTGTCCCCTACATCACTGTCCTCCGGGCCACCTGGAACGCTGGTGATGTGCCATTTCTTAAGACTGCTTCACCCCTGTCTCGGGGGTTTTCCGCCAGGCCATTGGCACCCATCTCCCAGGTTTTCTAACTGAGTTTATTTTATTTTTTTAAATGTCAAAATAGAGAAGTTTTAAGAATATTACAGGGAACTCTTTAAAATCTTTCACCTGGGTTCACCAGTTGTTAATATTTTGCTACATTTACTTTTATAATATCCTCCCAACTTCTCTCTCTCTCTCTCTCCCCCCCTCCCTCACCTCCCCCTCCTCTCTCTTCCAGAACAATTTGTAAGTTTGCAGATACGATGCCCTTGACCTCTAAATAATCCAGTATGTATTTCATAAGAAGAAGGACATTCACTTAAATTACCACAGGTCAAAATGTGAAAATTTAACACCATTTCAATACTATTATCTATAGACTTCATTTAAATTTCAAAATGTAGTCATTCTAAAGTGATAAGTGAAAATATTATCAATAGTTGGAAAAGTACCCATAAATTAGTAAATAAACATATTTACTTAAAAAGAAAATAAACATATTGATTTAAAATATGACAACATTCTATATTATATAAACTCCCTCTTATAATTACCAGAAGCTTTCCCATAGATGTGTGAATAGTTCATCAAGGGAATAAAATACAAATAAAGGGAATAATTATAATACAATACTTATATTTTAATTAATAAAAAGATATCTGGGTATAATGGTCATATTTTCCAGTTCTAAATTCAGAATATCTAGTCTTACATAGTTAGACAAATTAAATCACATTGTCTGCTCACTTAACAAAGCACTTATTGAAAAGGGTAAACTAATAAAAAAATAGATAACTGACTTGGGAAATATAGAACAAATAGGTACGGGCCCACCCCTCACAGCCATCCTGCACATCGTGGATCTTCCGTGTGAACCGATGGAATGTGGGAAGACATCCGGCATCCAGGAAATGAAGTGGAACTCGGGGTCCAGCCAATTCCAACTCAGTTCACACAGTGTTGGGGTCTCCTGCAATCTCAGCCTGAGGCCTGAGTTTGGCAGTGGCTTCTGGATGATAAGAGAAAACAGCACAGATTGTAGCTATTCTTTGGGAGGACCAGAGTTTCTAGGGATCTTACAAAACAAATTGAAGACAAGGAGCTCTTAGAAGGTAAAAGTGGAATAGGGCTAAGTATGAGATTGAATGCCTGAGGTTGACGTTTAATGTTTGGTGATCACTACCAGTTTTTACAGATGCTTTTAATCATTCCAACATTTTATTTTATTTTATTTTATTTTATTTACCAGAAGAAGGTAATCATTGTTTCTTTCTGTTATTAGGGGTTTAACTTTTTCTGTATTTATTAAAAGACATGAGCAGTTCAATTCAACAAATATCCTATGGGTACCAACTTATACCCAAATTGTACTCTAGTATCAACCCCAGCAAGGGTTCGGGGTCCTTTTGTTGGCATTTGACAATAGATGGGATTGACCTTTGTTAGAAATAGAAAGAAATATGTAGGAAAATCCTTGTTTACTTTTAGATTTTTTTTTTAAAAATTAAGTAGAAAATACAGTTTTTAAATGTTTGCTTGCCTGTATGACCTATCGGTAGTTCCCAGTTGTCAGCTGGGGACCAGGGCTGGTCAGGTTTTTCATTGGTCCAAGGGAAAAATTAAGATAAAACAGTCAGCCAGTCTCCAGTCTTTTTTCTTTTCCTTCCCTTTCCTTCTCTTCCTTTCTTTCCTTCTCTTTCTTTCTTTCTTTCTTTCTTTCTTTCTTTCTTTCTTTCTTTCTTTCTTTCTTTCTTTCTCTTTCTTTCTTCCATCTGTTATAAGGCCACCAACTTATCTTTTCTTAGGCAGGACTGCCTTTATTCTGCTATTTTTTTCTATATAAAAATGTAAAGAGTATGGAGTACTTCCTTTTAAGAACTAGTGGTGATGACAGAAATTTGCCAAATAAAAAGTTAGCAACCCTATGTTGGTCCCCTGTCCTTTTTCTTACATTTACCTCTTGATGAAATTCAATAGTCTAGGAACTATTGCAGGAAAGCAATGATACATTAGAAAGAGTTCTAGTTTAGGGAATAGGAAGCTTCCCATATGTCTTTGGGCAGGCTGCTGGGACCCACTGGGCCTCTCTCTCTTTAGGTATAAATAGCAGTGATAACTCCTGCATCAGGGTTGTAGCAAGGAATAGATGAGATGTCACTGCGTATCAAAGTGCCTGGCCCATAATAAAAATCAGTAAAAGGAAGCTGTCAAAATTAGATCATGTGAAAGCACTTTATAAATTTTAAAGCACTATACAAATAAAAGGTGCTGTTATTAGCTAGGATTTAAATTTTTAAAACATCAGTCAGATGATGAATAGCTTCCAAATTGAAAACGCATGTGTTATCAAAGTAGCAGTAAATCTTTCACCATACAAAGCAAGTAAATGTTGCTAACAAAGCTGGCTTATTGTTCGCAAATTGGCATGAATTATAATGCAGGATGTAGTCCCAGTTTAGTTACGTTGAGTGCCGCTTATCTATAAGTTAGGAGTGAACTTGGAAGAGATGTTTACTTTGAAACTGCTTGAAAATTTACAAAGGCGGCTCAAGTATAGGGTTTCTTTTTACTTTGCTTTTTTTTCTTTTACAGCCAAGGAAGCCTAAAGCCCCAGACAATCCATTTCATGGCATTGTTTCCAAGTGTTTTGAGCCTCATCTCTACGTGTATATTGAGTCCCAGGACAAGTGAGTGATGAACACTTTGCTCTTTTTCTATCACCTTTCTCCCTCCTGTGCTCATGGTTGGGCTTCCCAAGGGTGCAGCTCTTTGCAGAGGCTGAAGGAGGGTCCTGGCATGCCTGTGACCCTCCTGGGAAATCTTTTAAGGATGTTTTTATGTCTCTTGAGTGTAATTTACTGTGTCTATAAATCTCAAAAGCCTGATTTTTGACTCTACTAAGGTCCCAAGTGGATCCCACCACCCCCTTCCCACGTGGGCACTGAGCCCATGCATAGCTATATATGCCAGCACACAAGGCCTTACAGTGGCAGGCCCTGGAAAATGAAGAAAGCAAGCCTAATCTCTAATGTATATGTTTTCAGGTATAATTTATTTAATTTTTTCATTTCAAAATAATTTAGATTTACAAAAGAGTTATAAAACATTCTCATCGACCATTCCCCCAGAGAATGCTAACATTTCTCACCGTCCTGGTTATCAGAGTCAGGAGGGTAACACTGTCCCCTTAAGTCATCAGGTCTCTTTAGTCTCCTGTAATCTTAAGTGGTTCCTCAGTCTTTCCCTTGTCTTTCATGACCTTGACACTTTCAAAGAGTATTGACCAGCTATTTTGCATGATGCCTTTAATTTTGGTTTATCTATTGTTGCCCCTTGATTAAATCTAGATTGTGCATTTCAGGCAAGAATACCATAGAGGTCACGCTGCGTCCTCAGTACCTCGTATCAGGAGGCACATCATGTGGGTCTGTCCCATTACTCATGATGCCGACTTTGATCGCTCGCTTTGAGTGGTGTCTGCCAGTGTTCTGTGCGTGAAGCTACTGTTCGTATAATTAATAAGTATCTTTGTGTGGGGATACCTTGGGGTTGGGTAAATATCCTGTTTCTCATCGCACTTTGCCCGCTCATTCTGGAATCCCTTGATGATTCCTGCCTGAAATAATTATTACTGTAGTGTTTACTGAACGTTGATTGTCTGTTTCCATCATTTCTTCTACATTTACTAATTGGAGTTCTACTATAAGGAAGAGCTTCCCCTTCTCCCCCATATGTTTGTTTATGTCAGTATGGACTGATGGGTTCTTACCTTCTTTTATGGATTATCATCCATGTAATATATATTCCTCCTACAAACTTTAATGGCTCCAGAAAACTTATAGAGCAGCCACTGTAGCCAAGTTTCCTTACAGCCAGAAGAATATGTTCATGTTCCAGTCGCCACTGCTGATGGGAAGGTGGAAGACCCCCTCTCATCTCCGAATCTCTGCCCGCAGCCAGAGTATCCAGACTCTTCCACACTGGAAGGCGTATCTTGAGAAGGTCAGGTTTCTGACACAGCCGAGCTAACTGGAGACAGGCCGGCCCAGGCTCTGAGGGGAGAACTCGGTGCCTACGGAACACACAGAGCAGGACCAGACGGTGGCTCACACAGAGGGAGCAGCCGCGGCTGTGAAAAAGTTCTTGAGGGGAGTTCTCTGGGAAAGCACTTAGATGCTGAAATCCAGCCTCGCCCCCACCCCCACCTTTTTTTAATGATTCTCTCATGGGTTAGCAAATTCTTGTTTCCAAATAGGTTTCAGGGGTAAACCGTAAGATCAAGAGAATATTTCAAGTGGAATCACCACATGGAACATTATTATTATTCACCTACTTGATTTTTATAGTTTCTACTCTTTTCCTCCCCAGTGACAAAATGCTTCATATTAAAATCCCAGAAAATGAACTTTATAAAAGACTTGCTACATTCACAAAAACCTCCCTGCTGATCCCCCACCCACGCCACCCAAAAAATTCGCCTTGACAGTTTTTGCCTTGTAACACCTCAACTTCCTCCCTGCTCTCTGTCTGCTGGGTTCATGCCTGCAGGCGCCCGAGGGCAGTAGTGACCACTGCCTCGCAGTCCTTTGAAAGCGCCCCATCTTCTGCATTCAGAAAGTTTCCTCCCAGGAAGTTGATAAGACACCCCAGAGAGGGCGAGAAAAAGGATCCGTTATTTGCCTACCAGATTAACAGGTCTTAAAGCAACCCACCTGGAGGACTATTTTTGGACAAAGCCTCTTCTTCTCTTATCAACCCAAATTCTTATTTTTAAAAGCTATCAGGTCCAGGGTTTAAAGTATCTATGAGACAACCACATTCTTTCCCCAGACCTACCTGGTCTAAAGAATCATTTCTCCAAATTACTATAATTCTGGTATCTACTCTCTTCACATGGCCTTGATTCATATAGAGTATACTCATTGTTCATGGTACCTTGGGCTTAGAGCCAGACCCCCTTCCTTAGGGACTCTCCATTTCTCTATGAAAAATGAAGTGCTGGCCACTCATCCTGCCATTTGGCCTCCCTGGGATGTTTCCACAGCGCGCGGGAAGTAGCGGAAGCCGCTCGCAGGAGAACTGCGTAGGTTGTGCTGTTGTCGCTCCAGAAAAAGCAGCAAGAGCTTGAAGTAGAAAATAGAATTCACAAAATCCATTTCCTCATCTCTAAAAGGAGACAAAATAATGCTTAAAGCAGTAGTTATTAACCTTTTTTGAGACATAGATCCCTCGGAGGACCTGATGAAAGCCAGAGCCCCTCTTGCCAAAACAAATCTTTATAAACCCACACACTCTTCTTGAGTGCAATTTCAGGGGGTTCTATAAAGCTCTTCCCCCCTTAAGTCAAAGACTCCTCAGGCTGCGGGGGGGGCAGCTCCGATGGGGACTGGTTTTGTACAAACCACGACTCTTGTAGTTCTGACCCAAAAATCTTCAAGGGAGGAAAATCTTAGGCCATTCACAAGCTCCCAGATGACAGAGACCCAGCCCAGCGTAGTGGAAAGAACGCGGGCCTGGATGCCACAAGGACCTGGACTGGAGTCAGAACCCTGCAGCCACTGGCCCGGGACCTTGAGCATGGCACTCAGCCCCGCCGAGTTTGTTCCGTCCTCTGCGCAGTGCAGTTAACAGCCCTCACCCGCACCCTCACCCCTTCATAGGATTAGCGGTGCGGATGAAATGAGGTGACATACGGGTACTTGGCACGAGTGAGCGGTGTTCGGGAACTGTGCCTACCCAGCCCTCCCTGTCTGTGATCTCGTTCCAGACTCTTAGACGGTTGGGTGGCCTGACCAGTGTTGCCAGCTTTCTGCTGGGCCTGGCCTGGGGTCCATCCCTCATCTCCCCAGCGCCCCACCTGCCCCGGGGAAGCTCTGGTAGAATCTTCCCCGGCCAAAAGCTGAGCAGCCCCAGGAGGACTGCACAGCCAGCGCCCTGGGAGGAGGCCGGAAGTGGGGATGTCCCCGAAGCCACCTCTTCAACAGGCTGGGCTAAACTGTCATTCTCTGCTTTAAGCAGCTTTCTCATTTTTTTGTTTATGGTCAAAGAGGAAGTTAGTTCATCTTCTGCTTTTAGGAACATAGGTCATTTTCTTCTGCTGACTCTTGCAGAAGAGATTTCTCTCCACAGACACTTTGTTCACTTCATTTGGGTACATTCTCAGTCAAAAAAGTTATCGGTGACTCCACTCCTGCCCATTCTCCTGAGTCCCCCCTAATGATGTTTGTTGAAATAGAGCTCCCCCTTCTTCTGGCTTCGTCAAGCCTAGAGTTTCTCTGTAAGTTCATTTCAAACTCTCAGGATTGTTACAAGAATCGTATACAGGTCCCCTGTATATCCTTCACCTGGATTCCTCAGTTAACAGTTCTATCCCCCTCCTCTCTTACATACACACTCACATATGTACACATGCTCACATGTATGTGCACATGCATATTTTTTCTGAGTGATACGGATTTTCAAATTGCAGACAAGATGCCCCATCACACCTTTATACCTCACGGTGTGTTTCCTGTGAGTAAGGACGGTCTGCACAACCAGACCGCAGCCCCCCTAATCAGGACATTAACATCGACACAGTGTTACCATTTAATCCATGGGCCCCACTGCATTTCACCAGTTGTCCCAGTCATGTTTTTTATAATCCAGAATTTATTCCAGGTTTATGGCTTGCGTTTACCTGTCTCTTTGTTCTCCTTCAGTCCAAAAGAGTAACTTATCCTTGCTTTATCTGTCAAGACCTTGAAGTTTTTGAATAGTACAAGCCAGTCACCTTGTGGAATTCATGCAGAAGTGGCGTTGTGTTCTCAGTCACTCACAACAGGAGGCTCCCAGTGTCGGTTTGTCCCACAACTTGTGGTGGTCATTTTTATTACTTGGTTTAGATGGTGTCTGTATTTATTGATAAATAGTGTCAGGAGAAATTTTGAAACCACATAAATAGCCTTTTTCTCATATTTCACTGACTTATTTTACCACCTGAATTATTTATTACTAACATAGTTGTCAAAAGATGATTTTTCTCACTCTGTCATTCTTCTGTATTTATTAGTTGGCATTGTATTTTAAGCAAAAGCGTTCTCTTCTTCCCATTTATTTATCACAGGGACTCATAGATTTCAATTTTATTCAATGAGTTGTAGCTGTAACTATCTTTTTTTAACTTTATGTTGGAATAAATTTATTAGACCTATAGAAAAATTTCAAAAATAATACGGGTTTCCCATATCCTTTCTCCCAACTTCCACCAATGTAACGTCTTACATAAGCATAGTACAGTTATCAGAGCCAGCAAGTTAAACGTTGGTACAGTTTTATACTAAACACCAGACCTAATTTGGATTTCACCAATTTTTCCACTAATTTTTTTTTTTTTTTTACAGGATCCATCATTATTTATTTTAATGCTCAAATAGTCCCTGATTTGGCTTGGGACCCCCTTCAAACTGGTTTTTCATCGTTTTCCATGCCCTAGTCATTTTTTTGAGCGCTCCTTTTCTGGCACAACAAAAAACACCAGGCTCATCCTGTGCCTTCCTGCCTCAGCCCCGGAGCCCTCCATCTGGTTAGGATCCCTTGTGCCGTCGGTGGGACTGGTATTTAGAAATTAAGCTCTGGACATCCGGTGTGTTCAGTAGTGCTCAGGTGCCATGCTTGTAGGTCCTCCTGCTGAGAAACTAAGGAACATATGTACATGTATATATGGGTACCTCTATATCTATTTTTATACCTGTTTTGGTATTAAAACCCAGGAGACTATGCTGATGCCTCCAGTTCTCATTGAATCACGAGTTTTTGTGTTTTTAGCTTCCTCCTGTGCAGGCCTGTAATGCCTTCCACAGCAGTAAGAAACTTAGCGCCCAGCATCCTCCCCATACTTAGTCTCTGTGCCATTTACTGCGTGTAACCCATCTCCCAGTTGGGCCCACACCAGACCTTGGCTCCCCAACTCCACAGTCCACACCAGAGCCAAGGAAGGGAAGAGGGTTACAAAGCAGTTGGAGTGCCTCGAGTTAACGAGTTCTGTAGCTTCTGGGGACCTTGGGTGCTTTGTCTGTGCTTACCCTCTCGCCAGCTTTTTCCGACTACCGCCTTCCTCCGCCAGCGCCAGCACTCCTTTACTCCCTATCGGAGCGTTGTTTCTATAGATGCTGAGTGCAGATCCGCCAGGAGAAGCTGCCTTGGTCATCCGTAGGTAAACTTGGTCGACAGTGCAGTGCTGCTTCTCATTAGGCCCTAATATTTCCCTCTAGTGATGCGCTCTGCAGTAGTCTTTCTTCCCAGGTCATTTTATTTGTCAGTGGAACTCTCAGCTGTATTTCACACGCCCTCCCTGAAATGCTTACACAGTTCTTGGGCAAAAACTCAAGCTACAGGGAAGAGGGGAGAAGGTACCATCCATATCCACGACCTGTTTCTTCAGGCTGGAGAGAAAAATTAAGAACAACAATATTATATACCACATATCTGTATAGTGCTTTACAGTTTTGAAATCAAAGCATAGCATAGTGTGGGTAGAGCTTAGCTTTAGAGTCAGACGGACCCAAGTTCAAATTCCCACTCTGGTAAATTCTATGACCTAGGGAAAATTATGTTATTTTCCTCTGCCTCAGTTTCTTTTATAAAATGGGGATAATAAGGCCTTCTATTCAGGTCTGTTGTGAGGATTAAACAAGACTGTATTTATAATGCACCCAGCACATGCCTAGTTTGTAGGCTTATAGCTCTAGTGGGAGACATAAACCAGAGAAAGATTGTAGTACACAGCATGAAGGGATACAGACATGAATAATTTGCTGTGGCAATCCGGAGGAGTATATAAATCAAACCACAGGCAGCCTTTTCTCATCTACATCTTCTGTCTAAGCCAAACCCCTCTCTTCCTTTCTACACTCTCTTCCTCACACCGTTATCTGTGCTCACTTACTCTGTTCCTTAATCCTCTCACCTGAATCTGCTGTGAAATTTTTCTCTCCAGTGTCTGTTATTTCCTTTGTCTAAAATAAATTGCTCGTTTTGTGTATACTGCAAAATTAGCATTGTGGTGCTATCTGGAAATCTAAATATCATAAGCATGAGGTTCCTATATCCCCAAATAGATCAGAGCTTCTAATGGGCAGGCCCTTGTGTCTTAGCCCCAGCAGCACCTTGATCACAACTTGACCCTTCGTGCTCTCTGCCTTGATTGTAACTGCCCTAGGGTATAAAAGGCGCCTTCTTGTGATTCCATCAACACACAGGTCAGCTGGCCTCACGTCCCTTGTCCCTTTCTGCGGCAGTCCTACAAGAGCTCTCACCGGGACTCGGGGTAGAGTTTGGTGCTTGGAGGAAGTGTTAACCTCTGCTTTTTGTCGTTGTTATTGAATTCATTTATATCTTATACTTACAGCCCACGACTGGATTCAAACCAATGAACCTTGCCCATTCCCACTGGGGTGTATCTTTTACTATTCTCTTCTGTGAAATGCTAATTACTGGTTTTCTAATGTCTAGTGTGGCATAGCAGTGTGCTGGTGCACAGGATGGAGGATGGAAGGGAAGGGAAGCTTACTCTGGTTTATTTCTCATCCGTGTCAGAAGACAATGTCAAAAGCCACCTGGTAGACATTCTACAAAATATGAAAGTCTTCAGAGTTTTTCTAAGTAGAAGTTTTCTTCATGGGGTATGATCATAACTAAATTATAATCCTACTCATCAGGTTGGCTCTGAAATAGGTGGTAGGTGGATAAGTATCCTGACTTCAGCTTCTAGGGGAATTAGATAAGTGGTTAAAGTAAAAACACTTCAGAGCTCTGGTCCCTGTTTCGGTTGGCACTGTAGATTTGGAGATTAGGATTTCTCATAAAAAGACTTTTGGCTTCTCTTACATGCTCACCTCCACTGCACCAGCCCCCACTCCCTCTTCACCTTCCCACCCTTTCATTCCCACCCCTCAGGAACAAAGTGTGGCGGTCGACCAGCTGGCTCTGTGCTGTGTACCCCCATAATTGGGAGGTGGGGTTCACCCATCAGCAGGAGGAGAGGGCCTCGGGGGAGCAGAAGGAACGTAAGCATGCTCCCTGCTCTCAGGGAGCTTATATCAACATACACGAAGCAGAGAAGAAGCTCCTACTTCTGTGTAGGAAGCAGCTTTCACCTTTTGTACTAACTTCAACTTGTTAGAAGAACAATTCTGTAATTGCACCAAAGATTGATGAAAAGATTGCCATTATCAATGAGCATGGCCCCCACAAGCCCAGGATGGGAGATGGTCAACATGTTTCTTGAATATTTGATATCCTTACGGTGTATATTTAAGTGTTAAAAAATAAAGTATCAGTGTGTTAAGGATGACAGACGTTGAAATGGAGATCGAAGATTGTTGTGAGTAGGCGTTGCGTGGCCACACCTCAAGCTGCGTAGAGAAGTGGCAGGAGAACGTTAGGGCAGGGGGATGCAGCCAGGCAAAGGCACAGGGTCGGGGTGGAGGAGCGAAGGGTTGCGGTGAGGTGAGGGGAGAGGCAGGAGATTAAATGGAAAGGTTAGGCAGGAAAAAGCTGTGAGGAGCAGGGGGTGCAGACCCTGGAGCTCCTCCCCCGCTTCAGACCGTCCCCCGCAGCCCAGCCTAGGCAAGAAGTTCTTTGAGGGCAGAATGGCTGCATCTGGATATAATAAACTTTCAATAACAAAAGCTCTTGAGTAAAATGTCAATTTTCTCCTTTTCCTGCTAATTGATGCTGTGTGTGGTTTTTGTCTTTTTCTTCCTGACTGTTATATAAATACATTTTAAAAGCACAGCTGGATCCCCGTAGCTTTAGACAGCCACCTACAAAGATGCAAAATGTCAAGAGGGGTGCGGATACCCCCCCCCCATTTTTCAAGCCGCACAACTGTGCAGGGAACAGCCGATACAGCCCTGCTGGCTTCTCACTAGGGATGACTCATTACTACGGACACAAAGTCGGGGATATTTGAATGGGAAATGGGAGAAAATTGCAGCCATCATCGCCACCATGACCGGGGCAAGCCCGGAGCTGCTCAGACTCTCTCCTCTCCCAAGACTTTATTTTTATGCCTTTTAGTCTGGAAGTTTTAAGAAGAAACTGCACTAAAGAAGAAAGAAGGCATTGTAATATTTCTTTATAGTTTCTCTTTGTTTAGGCATCTATTTTGTAGGCACATTTAGGCTAATGATACCTAAATACCTGCTGACATCATAACCTTCTTGTGTTTTAGGAGGTAGGAGGGTAGCGTGGTCCAAAGCATGAGGTTCGGAGCCAGGCTGCTTGGTTTTGAATTTTGGCTCCCGCACCCTCTTGCTGTATGACCTTGGACAAGGCCCTTAACTTTTCTGCACTTCACTTTTTGAAGATGAGGACAGTAATAGTACCCACTTCATAAGGTTATTATGAAGATTAAGTGAAGTTCATTGAAATGACACATAAACTGCTGACATAGTGCCTGGTGTATCATAGAGATTTGGAAAATGATTACTGTCATTATTTAGGGTTTTCATTTGTGGAAAGAGGAGATGATTCTCATATGGAGCAGTGCACGCACTTACGTGGTGGATTCTGGACTCAGCTCTGCCACTAAATTGTGTGACAAACTTTCTAGGCTTTCATTTTTTCATCTCTTAGAGGGTTCAATAATAATTATCTCCCTCACAGGGGCTTGGGGTTAGATGTGATCATAAAATGCCTTGAAAAGTTTAAAGCAGCATGCAAACGCCACATTTTATTGCTGCCGTTACTGCAGGAGCAGTGGGGGTGGTTAATGATGACACTGATAAAAACGAGTCTCATTTTACATACAAAAAACATTAGAAACGATGTACTCATGGCAGTCAAGCACATTTATTTGCTTTATCTTTCTTGAAATAGAATAACATTTCAGGTTGTCTTCCTCCTAGAAACCTTGGAGAGCTGATAGATCGGTTTGTGGCCGATTTCAAAGCCCAGGGGCCCCCTAAGCCCAACACCGAGGAAGGCGGTGCCGTGCTCCCCAGCTGTGCCGACCTCTTTGTCTACTACAAGAAGTGCATGGTGCAGTGCTCTCAGCTCAGCACTGGGGAGCCAATGATCGCCCTGACCACCATTTTCCAGAAGTACCTCCGAGAATATGCCTGGAAAATCCTCTCTGGCAACCTGCCCAAGTGAGTCCTGTTCTTCCCAGTGAAGTAAGATTCTAAACATACCTAAATATGGGAATCTTTAAGGAAATCCACTCTGAAGTTGTTTACTGAACTGCTAAGAGTACCAGGGAGGAAAACACCCTAATTGAGTTCCCAAAGGTCTGAGACTGTTTACTCTCCAAATGAGCTTCCACAGCTGATCAAGATGGTTAGAGGAAACGCCCACACTGCTGCCAGCACAGGTCAGCTCTGGCCACAGTGGACTCAGGCCATTTGAGGAAGTCGGCCCGTTACACAGGGTGGGGCAAAAGTAGGTGTGCAGCTGTTCATATGGAAAATAATGCCATAGCTAATAAATAATAGTACAAGAATAAACTCTGTGTTTCGTGTACTCACAACTGTAAACCTGTCTTTTCCCCACCCTGTATATGTATTTAATTTAAATGGATTCAACGATGGGTACTTGGCCAAAAAAGTAGGGTGGTGGTGGAAATAACTTTTAAACAACATGGGCGATTCCATTAAGGCCTCATTCTGTGAGAATGTGTCCTGGGATGATAAGGAGATGAGAGGCATGAGTCTGCTTTCCCTCGGTCTGATTACATTCCAAAGTCTGTCCTGTGGTATGTGTACCTTGCTGTGCTGGATAGAGTCTAATGTTTAAGGATCTAGAGGGGTTTAGGGGTAGGGGGTTGCATAGCACAGCTCCTAATTAGAGTAACTTTACTGTATTCCCTGGGGCAATAGATTGTTGTTATATTGCTTATTACTTGAAATAAATGAATCATTCAACTAGAGTTTTAGGTGTTTTGGTTATACTATGGCATTTTTAATTGTAATAGAATATGATCCAAGGTAATACTTAAGAATTTAATAATTATAAATCGTCCCCATAGCTATATTCAACAGTAATGGAATTAGTTTGTCGTCGTCACTAAAATGTGTCATATATGGGAGTTTTACATTATTTGGAGGACAGACAATAAAATCCCTGTGCTCTACCAGAGATTTGAAGTAGCAGATATACTTTATCAATGAGAATTTCTTTAACTATGATAAAAAAAATTATTCTAAAATTGTTAGTAACTTTTGTCCTGATTATCAAAATAACAGAAGTAGAAGGCACAGAAAAACACAAAGATTAAAAACAAAAATCACCTATAATCTCATCACTTAGAGAAAACAAGTTTAACTTTTTGATATATATTTTTCCATCCTTTCTTTATATATATAATGTGTGTGATTGTGTCTTTTGTTTGTTTGTTTAGCAGAATTGGGACTATACTGCTTATAGTTTTATATGCTGCTGCTATCACTTAACGTCACCCTAGGAGCATTTTCCCATGTGTGTTAGTTAGCCGGTGTCTCAGCAGGAAACAAATGGCTCACTCAACTGGGATGTTGTTAGAAGTAAAGCAGCTGCATATTCACAGAAATGGGGGCAAGGTATTGTAAAAGGAACCAGCAGAGGATTATGAAGCATCCAGATACTAGTGGGTACTTACCACTACTCTGAAACTCACTTGAGAGCTAGGTCTGCAGACGAAGGTCTGCCCCATAGAAACTGTAGGCCTAGAGGGCCTTTCACTGCCAGGACCACTCTGAAGTACAGGGGGCTGGAAGACCAGCTGTTGCTCAGACTCCTCTCTCCTCTACCTCTCTGACTTCCTGCTGCATCTTGCATTGGCTCAACCCAAGAGGAGGCCTGAAGGCCAAGGAGGCTGGGCGATAAAGCTGTGGACATCAGCCCCTGAGCCATGGAGCAGGGAAGAGAGGAGCAGAGAACAGATCTGGGAGGCAAGAGAGAATGGTTGGCACTTGCAACAATAAATATTTATCAAAACACGTTTAATGATGCCATGGCCATCAAATGTATAGATAAACCTAGTTAACGTCTGAGATTCTGATGGATCATTCTCGTAATTGATTGTTTTGGTGAGATTCACCGTTTTGGAACACTCAGAAAAGCATCCTTGAATAGAAGTGGAACTACTGGGTCAAATCTCTGGACATTTTTTTTAAGTTCCTGAAATATACCCCCAGAAAGTTGGTACAGTGTGACGCTCCTACCCCATAGCAGACAAGAGTGCCAGCGCCTCACACTCTTACAAGTGGTAGGAATTAAAATGTTTCAAATCTATTATCAGTAAGACTGGTCAGAATTTAAAAAAATTTTTTTTATTGATTTTGAGAGACAGAGACAGTGATCTGTTGTTCCACTTATTTATGCATTCATTGGTTGCTCTTTATATGTGTCCTGACCGGGGATCAAACCCACAATCTTGGCGTACGAGGGCAACACTCCAACTAATTGAGCCACTGGACCAGAGCGGGGCAAGTTTTTTAAAGGAGAAATTTCTCTTTTATTTTTAAAATAAATGCCATTGAATTCTATCTTCTCAAAAAAAAAAAAAAAGAGTTAAAATAGCAGGAAGTTTTATAACTGCATTTTGACATTTTGTGAGCACATGATTAGATCAGTAGGAAGGGATGAGATGCCTTTTGGTTTCTTGAGGCCATCAGGGGTTTGGGCAGGAATGCTGTTTTAACATTTACTTTTGAATCCTTCCACAGGCACAGCATACAGATTCCTGTGCAGAATTGGTTTAATCAAGAGAAACAATTCAGGATCATCTGTAGCCCAAAATTTCTTGGGCTACAGATGATCCTGAATGAGCTCTGCAGATCAGGAAATTCCAAGCTAAGCAGAGAGCCTGTTCAGCAGCCTTCTCTGTGCATATCAGTCATCATAGTGAATATGGCTGATTACTGGCTCACTTTTGGAATCATCTCTTCCTATTTCTGATGGTCAAGGTGAGGTCAGTAGGGAAGGACTCATTGTATGTGGATTTATTTGGGTCATGTCCAGCCTTTACTTCCACCTTTTCTTTGTCTTAAGATGTGCAGTTTCCAGTTCAGGAAGCAACTAAGAAGTCCCAGCCTGACTACTGCCTGTTCCTTTTCCTCAGAACCACAAGCAGCAGTGGAGGGCTGACCATCACCAGCCTCCTCAAGGAAAAGGAGGGCTCAGAAGTAGCCAAGTTCACTTTAGAGGAGCTCTGCCTCATCTGCAGCATCCTGAGCACAGCAGAGTACTGTCTGGCCACTACCCAGCAGGTGAGCCACCCTGGCGGCCCACTCTCTGCTTCCTTTTTCTGAACCATTTGGGCTACTTCGCTGGTTGGTGGGAATATGGGCCCTAATAAGGCCACACACAACCCGGGTAGGCCAGTTGGCCTCCCACAGAGGCAAATCTGGCTGTCCAGCCAGAAGATGGCTGTCTTACAAAAGGGCCTTGTTAAAGGAGCCTAGGCAAGAAAGTATGACTGATCTCTTCCCCAGAGTTATGTAAGCTACATAAAGGGCATGCCCTCTGAAAAGTAGGTCAGTAGCCCTGTCTCCTGTGTGAGACAAGCAGGAACAAACTTAAGGGTACTAGGACCCAGCCTTTGGCAGCAGTGAATCACAGCTAGTTATTCCATTCTCAGAAGTATTACTAGGCTAAGCAGAATCCTTGGGCTTTTATGTGTCTCCTGGAATTTACATAGCAGTTTCAATCTGCCTAAACAAATAACCATTGTTGGGATGTTGACGTTCAGGAACTGTGAAGCAGGAAAGGGTGATGCCTCTACCAGAGTTCCCCATGAAAACAAGGAAGACCCAGAATAATTTTCCATTCAGCCTTAGATGTGGGATTAGAAGTTCCTTTTCACATTTTATCTGGAATTGATCTAAGGCCATGGAAGAAAAAGTAATTGGGGAACGTTCTGCTCTTCCCACCTTTTTGGGTTTATGATTTACACATTTCTAGATCATAGGAATGCAGTCATACGTTATGGTTCAGACAGGACAGCTTGGAGCACCTGTGAGCCACAGCAAGCATATAGGAAGTGAAACAAGAAGCGCCTCCTCCCCCGAAAAAACTTCACAACTGGGGCTGAGCCAGCCAGAGGCAGAGGCAGTACCTGCTCTGCTTGGGGACATGGTTATATTGTGTCACACAGGGAATGATCTGTGAAGGTTTGGACTTGGAGCCAGAGACAGCGATCCGTTTAGCCCCCAAAGCTCCCAGGTCAGGACGGCAGTTGATCTGTGAGGACCTCCGAAGTAGGGGTTCACAGAATTCTTTGATGAAGAAATGCCACTTAACTATTTTGTGTGTGTTCAGAATGAGAAAGAATACACATATATAAATAATAGTATTTTAAAGGTAAAATAACCATGGTACCAAAAGAAAAGGCTGTAAAAATAATGACCTTTAATCCCACCACCCTCAAATAATCATACTAGTAATTTGGAGGGTTTTTTTTTTTTTCCAATTGGTTTTCATCAACATAGTTTTACATGCTGTGATCTTGACTTAATTTTCATATCCTTTTGTAGTTGTTAACATGAGAGCATTAGCAGTTCCCCTGTTGCTAATGTCTATTACAATCATTGTTATGACTACATAATACTCCATTAAGGTGTATACTATGAATTATTTAACAGTACCTCTAATAATTTTTATGCTGCTTCAAGTTTTTACTTTTATAAGTAATCTTACAAAGAACATCTAATGTTTTACATTATCTTTCTAGAACAGATTCTTAAAAATTCTAGAAATATTAGATCAGAGACCATTTTAATGACTCATGATAGATGTAGCCAGTTTTTTGTTATTTAATGAAAATTGTTTTTACTGATTAAAAACATAAATGCATTCTTAGCCCCTATATTGTGATCTCTCAATACCATTTTTCAGTAAAAGGAACCAGAGATTCTTGGAGGGATAATTCCAGGTTTGGGTAGGAAATGTAGAAGATGAGCCTAGAATATCATGTCATACAAAAGGCAAGAAAATATGAAAGGCTGTGAGAGTCATTACAAAAGGACTCACTCAGGAGCTGTAGTGTGTTTAAGGGACAAAAAGACATGTCCAGATCCTAACCCCCACTACCTGTAAATGTGACCTTACTTGGAAATAGGGTTTTTGAAGATGTACTTAAGTAAGGAACTCAAGATGAGATCATCTCGCGTTTTGGGGGAGCCTTCAGTCCAGCGCCTGGTATCATTAGAAAGGGGGATTTAACACTCAGAGACACAGGGAAGAAGGACATGTGAAGACAGGGGCAGAGATGGGAGCGATGCATCTACGAGCTAAGGAAAACCCAGGATTGCCAGCAACTACCAGAAGATAGAAGAGAGGCAGGGAACAGTTTCTTCCTTAGAACCTCCAGAGGAGCCAACCCTGACAACACCTTGATTTCAGACTCCTGGCCTCTAGACCTGCGAGAGCGCGTGTTGCCGTTGTAAGGCACCATGCATGCAGTGATTTGTTGCGGCACTGCCCGGGGAGCGCATACAGGAGCCCACCTGAATAAGCCCTCGTGGTCAAAGATGGGACACACAAACATCAGTGAGAATATAGGCTACAGCGGATTGAAACATCTAATATGATTCAATCTGTTTGATTATAAAGATTTTTTTTAAAATTCGTGTATCACCTTTGAAGATACTAAGGAACCATGGGTCTGAATTAAATACTGGAAAATAAAAGGGAAGTTCTTACCCTGCTTTTCTTATCTGACTTGTACCTCAGGATGACCAAATAATTGACAATGGGAAGTATCTCTTTAGAGCAGAATTTTAGCTAATAAATGAAGAAGAAAAAATAGCATATCATTCTTTTATAACTCCTAGTAGAATAACGGATCTGGGCATTGAGCATCAATGGCTTCTGATATTACAAAAAAAGAGAGAGCCAAATATCATGTATCTATTGATAGAAGGACACCACACCATCATGAAGTAGTTTTCTAAAAAGGAAAAAAAAGAATCTGAATCTGATCAAGCTTCTACAGTTAACCTTTGAACAGTGTGGGGGTTAAGGGCACAGATACCTCCTACAGTCAAAAAATTCACATATAACTTTTAACTGCCCCCTAAAAGTAAACTAGACAAAAGGTTATTAAGAGTATCAGAAGAAAGAGAAATCTTTACTGTATTTATTGAAAAATATCCACGTATGAGTAGACAGTTCAACTTCATGTTGTTCAATGATCAATAGTACATCAAACTACAATTTATGAGAAATGCAAGCGACAAGGGGCCATGTTAGTTAATACCTTGTGGATGCAATCAACAAAATCCAAACTATGGGAGAATCTACAGGGCAAACAACCCAGCTTCCTTTAAAAAATTGCAGGGGTTGGGGGGTTTGGCAAAAAGAAATGGAGGAAGAAACCAGAAACTAAAGAATCCAAGCAATGAAGAACTGGAAAAAGAAAATTTTAAAAATAATGCCAATAATGTATCAGTATTGGCTCACTAATTGTAATACTTGACACTTAACATTTGCATGAGGTATTTCATTCATTCGAGAGATCTTTATGAAGCACTTATATATGTAGTTGATGTTAATTGACAGTGGTGAACAAAGTAGCCAAGTTTCTTTCTGTCATGGAACTAAGAACTGATGGGGGAGCCAGATAATATGTAAGCCAAGCTGTACCTTCAGTTTTGTGGTACATGCTAAGAAGTTGCAGTGCTAGTTAAGGAGTTGCCTATGGACGTAGAGTATTCAAGAAAAGCCTCTCTGAGGAGATGACAGAGAAGTTGGGAAGGAGACTGCCAAGTGAGGAGCTTGGAAAGGATGGGAGGGGAAGTTGGGGGGTGAGGGGGCAGGGAGCAGAGCTAGGGAGTGTTTCAGGGGAGGAAGGAGAAGTATAAAGGCCCAGAGAGGAAACAGACTTTGGTATTTCCAAAACTTTAATTGGTCAATGTAACTGAAGCCAAGCCAGCAAGGGAGAAGGCTGGAAGCAGGCAGGAGAGAGGGACAGGAGCCACATCATAGTTAGAAGTTTGGATTTTATTTTCATTGTAATAGAAAGAGGCTGCTGAAGAGTTTAAGCATTGTAAGCCTGTACCATAATTCGTTTTATCAGTCTCTTGTAAATATATGTGTACATTGTTTCCAGTTTTTCAATAACAAACAGCACTAGAACGTGAACTTAAAGAGAACGAGATCCTTTTGTTCATTGAATAACTCCCTTACCCTGTTACAGAGCCTGGTACAAAATGGGCTTTTAGTGAATACCAGCTGAGTTCATGAATGCTGCAAAGAAAACTTGCATTTCTTTGTACATTGTTCTCATTATTCCACTGAAGTACTTTTCTAGATGTGAAATTGCTGGCTTAAAGGGTGTATATTTAATATTTTGCTCTTTCAATAAATTACATTCCAAAAAACATTGCATTAATTTACATACCCTTAAGAGCATTTTTTAAATTTAAGACAAAACATTCGTTGTTTTTAGAGTTTGTGTAATAAATAGGACTGGCAGCGCGAGGTGAGTCAATTCCCAGGATGTCTGGAGCTCTTACAGTTCCCGGTCAGTTGTATTTGCCTCTGAGGCGGCTGGCAGCATGGCCAGCGTTCCCCTCCTCGGCTGCAGGCTGCGCAAGGCAGAGCCTGCTTCTTTCCTCTGCCTCAGTAGCCCTGAGGCCTTAACTCAGCGGGCGGTATGTAGGGCACTCAGTAGGTACTTTAATACTGATTTTACTGCCACCCACCACCAGGGGTTTCCCATAGTGGAGAGTGAGCCCGCAGTTGACAGGGCAGGGAGTATCCTAAAAACCGGGGTCTTTTTTAAAATTAGTAAAATGAAGTGTCAGTGTGTCATAAGAAACAATTACAGCCCAGTGCTAGAGGGCACTGGTTCTGGGGGAAGTTTGATTCCTGGTCCTACCACTTGCTATCTTGAGTAGGTTCCCTCCTCCATTTCCTCATCTGTAGCCTGGGGATAGTAAAAGAATCTTCCTCATAGGGCTGTGAGAATTAAATGAGCCCATACATGAAAGGGGCCTGGAATTGTGCCTGAATCATCAAACTCAGTCAGTGTTGAGTATTCTTATTAAGATAAGAGTATATTTGGATAATCATTAAGCATGTTTTCCTCTCTCCTTTTCAAATAGCTAGAAGAAAAACTCAAAGAAAAAGTTGACATAAGTCTGACTGAACGAATCAATCTGACTGGAGAGATGGACACGTTCAGCACGTACGTACCTTGCACACACTTGCTCAAGGCCTGCCCTTCACAGAGCAGCATGTCCCAGGTTGTAGGCTTTAGGTCACTAGTGAACCTAAGAGGTTTCCAGGGCTTCTGGTTGGATTGGGATTATTATCCACTGGCCACTAAGAAGCAGCATTAGAAACCGGTGCAGTTGTGCCTCATCCAGCCTCCGCAGATACAGTCGTTTTTAACCCCTGAGTTTTTATTGTTTCACTATTAGAACAACAGAAGAGAACAAGCCTCCCTCGGCCATCCCTGAAGGAAGGTCAGATCAAAGGCCTCCTGTCTGCCCCGCTAAATCCACACAGGACCACCCCTACCCCCAGTGTTTTAGAATAAAAAGTATAAGCAGCCAAATCTCAGCCACGTGTGTGTGTTGGGAGGGTGTCTGTCTAAGAAGTTCAAACTAAAAAATTTTCTGGAAGTAGTTCTTTCTCTGGTGTCACCTCGCAGCATTTTTGTTGTGGTCATTAAATGAGATTGGGATAGGCCAGGCTTTCTCATCCACCGCTTTTTGACAAAAAAATTAGTTTTCTTCTTAAGTCCTTTCCTCTCCTTTTCTCAACTTCTTTTTTCCCCAAGTTCTGATTTAAACATTTTGGCAAACAAGTATTTTTGGCAGTGGAAGCGAAAAGGGGATTCTGGGTGTAGCAAGCAGGGAGACTAGCCGTGGGATTTTGTGTCCTGCGGGGCACAAACCTGAAAGAGGCCAGGACATGCGGCAAGACTACAGAAACAGCCAAGTGCTCCTCATCGTCACAGATTCTCTTTTGAAACAGAACTCAAGTTCTCTGAGTTTCTGGTGAAATGATGACTGATTTCACACGGGTGCCTCACATATTTGGAAGGGGTTATGTCATTGAAGAAGTCATTTTTTAAAAAGTTACGACTTACTGATTTGTTTGATTTGCAGTGTCATCTCTAGCAGCATTCAGTTGTTGGTTCAGGATCTGGATGCGGCCTGCGACCCTGCCCTGACTGCCATGAGCAAGGTAAGGGCTCAGGAAGTGCTGCTTCCTGCATGTCCAAGCAGGACCCCAGATGGTTTCCTTCAGGCCTGGCCTGTAGCTTCTCCAGGCTCCTCAGTGCTTCAGGTGCTTGGGAGGAGAAGGAAGACTCTGTCTAGGAGTTCCCCACAGCGCTCAGTTTATCTTGCACCTCAGGTCAGCTTCCAGTCCTTTGAGAACAAGACAGGGAGCAGGTGTGTTTGCTAAGTCTCCAGGAGATGTTAACTTTGATTAGCATCTGACAGATGCTGATGAAAACCTTAAGAGGTCTCACCAGAGTGGGTGTTTTTTTGAGAAACTTCTGGCTCATCCTCACTGCTGCAGGCTGAGAGGTTTTTCCATCTCGTTCCGAGCTCCGGCGCCAGTGCAGGACGATGTGGGCAGGTTGTGCCCCCCGGAGTTTTGTCATCGCGGCCACCGGCAGTCAGCCCTCGGCCCTCTGGTTTCCTCCTTCCGCACGTACCACCTGCTGCCTTGTATTGCTCTTTGGTTTTTAGGTATCTGTGTCTTTTCTTTCTAAAGTGTAAATTTCTTGAATGCATGGACCATATAGAACATAGAAGACTTACATGTTTGTTGATTATTTGAGTTGGAAACAGGCAATTATTTATTGATTTCTAAGCTAAAAATTAGGAAACTGCCCCCTCTAGAACCTTATAGAGCAGAGGCCGGCAAAGTGCAGCCTGTGGGCCAAATTAGGCCCATTTCCTGTTGTGTAAATAAAGTTTTGGGGTTTTTTAAATTACAAATAGAGTTTTTTATTTGTCACTCTTAAGTCTGAATTTTGACAAGATTCTAGGACTTGGGGTCACCTATCCATCAGCTCGTTCCACATTCTCTCTCTCTCTCTTTTTTTTTTTTTTTTTTTTTTTTTTTTTAGTTTTTTAGAAGACTTTATTTATTTTTAGAGAGAGGAGAAGGGAGGGAGAAAGAGAGGGAGAGAAACATCGATGTGTGAGAGATCGGTTGCCTCTCACGTGCCCCCAGCTGGGAACTGAACCAGCAACCTTTTGGTCCACAGGCCGGCATTCTGTCCACTGAGACACACCATCCAGGGCAGCTTGTTCAACTTTAGCTGTTGGAGAACTGCTACCTTCACCTTGAAGCTCCATGAATTTACCCAATCCAAACTTGGGCTTCTTCAGCATTTTGACTTTTCTAACAAAGACATCATGGAGTGGATAAATAGATTGGCAAGCCTTTTCTATGTCTTTTCCAGTGCTATTTGGAATCAATTTATTGACCACTTCTTTCAAGTCATTTGTCTGCATGATTTCCAGATTTGGCGGACCTGTTGGTGCTGAGCATAAGAGGTCTTCCAAATCCATTATTGCATTTTTTAGTGAAACCAACACGTAATAGATGAAGCAAATAACCATCGGTAGTCTTGACAACAACATGAGCTCCAATCGTGGTCTGCCATTTGTTGACCATGGAGCACATGTTGTCTCCATGGTAAGATCTATGCCATGGCAATAAGTCAGGCAGTTTTTGCCCTGAACATTTCTTAGCTCGAATTTCTAATTGCAACTTCATCATTCTGCAGATCAGCTAGGCTCACCTCAAGAACAAGACCCTTGAGATCATTAGATGCGATTTTGCTTCTTTGAATTCTCCTGACCAGTTTTTCCAATATTTCTTATATTGAATGTAGCTGTACTTTCACATCACACCAACCTTTCTTAGCAAATGGATCAACCGCTTTCTTCTTGGCTCCCTTTTTGCTGCCTTTTATAAGGCACTTGTTCTTGCCGACTGCCTTGGTGCTGCTCAGAGAGCCAAAGGTGTATATAAAGTTTTATTGGTACATAGCCACACTCATTTATCTATACAGGATGGGGCAAAAGTAGGTGTACAGTTCATACAGAAAATAATAAAATAATAATAATAATACTGGAATAAACTCTGTTTCATGTACTCAACAACTGTAAACTGCTTTTGCCCTGCCCTGTATGTTATCTGTAGCTGCTTTTTGGCTACAAGTACAGAATTAAGTAATTGCAACTGAGACCATATGGCTCACAAAGCCTAAAATACAATCTGGCCCTTTACAGAAAAAGTTGCCAGTGCCTGTGTGAGAGTCTTAGACCCTTGTAGCGCTCTTACACATTCTGGAGAAGGAGCCTCTCTAGGGGTGTATTGGCTAGTCGCAGACAGAGCACAGTGGGAAGGACACCACTGGCTTTGGAATCAGACCTAGCTGTCTTCATTTTTTCTGTGGGGGTGTTGAGCGAACGAGTAACCTCTCCGGGCCTAGGTTACCTTATCTGTATGTGCAGTACGGACATCTGCTTCCCAGAGTTGTGGGGATGGAGCATGAAGGGAGCAGCTGCCCTGGTGGCGGTAAATGCTAGTCCTTCCCTCTCATCGGGAGGAGCGGCCATGTCACCAGGTTGTGTAAGCAGGCATGTGGTCTGAACTTGGGTTTGTCGTAGATGGTAAATATTTAACAAAAATAGGATTAAACCCAAAACTTAGGCGTCAGGGTTTTATGAAGCTAAGTGGGGAGTCCTGAGTAGCTGATGTCACAACGTTTCTATTCAAAAGGCGGATCCTTTCACCAATCAGATGTGGCTGTGTATTTCCAGTGTTCTCAGTGTTTACAAGCAGAAAACTCTGCGCAGGCAGATTGAGGTTAACCCGTTTTCTTAAAGGAACGCGGCTCTGAAGATCCATTCTGTGGGCCCTGATCATCCCCTCGCTGCTGGTGAACGCTCACTGCACCCTGCAGAGGATCTGTTCCAGCTGCCACCTCTCCCGAACTGGCACACACTTTAGATTGGAATGCAGCTGGCGAAAGAACTTTTACATTTACCAAAGGAAGAATGGATTTTTTTTCCTCAGTAAAACAACAGTTGTAGGGGATTTAACACGCCAGGTGTTGCTTATATGAGCTGTCAGTTCACTAGGTGGATTTCCCTCAAACTCCCCTCCCACCCCACCACCCATTTCTCCCCCAGACCCACACCAGCAAATATTAACAAAGACCATACCTCCAGAATCTTTGTTTATGTCATAGGAAAACCACAGGCTTGGGAGCACAGCGGCTGGGAGGCCATTATTCTTTGTCTGAGTCTCCTGGAGTTCTAGCAAAATGAAATGCATGTGATGAAAATGACCAGATATAAACAAGCCAAGTGGCCACAGATTGATTCAACATACACCGTCTGTTATTTGTGCCTGTGTCCTGTTCTGTGTCTTCTTGGATTTTTTAAAACTTTTGTTTTGTAATCATGCTTATTTCTGGCTCTGATTCCACCCTTTTTGCTGCTAATTGAATAGTTTAAGTCATACTTTCTCCAGCACAGTGCAGGGAGTTGTAAGACTGGGAAGGACAGGGACCTCATCTCAAGGTTCTTAGATCCCAGAAGGCATAGAGCAAGAAATGCCTGAGATGAGAGGAATGCCCGTTATAGTACCATTAAAAAATCAGTATCATAAGAAAAGTACAAAATACGCCCTCTTTGAAAAAGCAGAGAGTTTATATCCAGATGGGAAGATGAGAAGAGCCTTCGTAAGGAAGTGGCATGTGAAATGGACCGTAAAGGATGGCAAAGTTTTGAACAAACTTGTGATTATGAGAGCATTCCAACCAGGGAGACCACATGAACAAAGGTTTGTAAAGTGAGGGAAGCTCAGAACCTTGTCGTCAGACAAAAAGTGTGTAATGAGAAATTGCCCTTCTCATTACACATTTTTGGAATTCCACAGGGTACTCTGTACTTGCACTTACAGAGCCAGGATTGGAAACGGGGCTGCCCTCAAGGAGCTTACATTCTGGTGGGGAGAAAACTTTGAATAACTAGTGCTGTAAATAAATGTATCTTGTAAGTGGTGAGAAAATGAATGCTGGGCTTCCCGAAGTGGAGTAGAATTGTTATTGATACTGAGTTTGATAAGATGGATTGAGACAAACAATGTAGTTATATCATTCCCCTGGGAGGAAACCTCATTTTCATGGAATACACCCTGTGGCTTTTTTGGTTAGCTTATAGGGCTTTTATTATTTGTCCCTTCTCTACCTTGTCGGTGCTGCAGCCCTGTGGGTGTGCCTATACTCCAGCCTCTGAGCCACTTCCACTGCCCTGCATGCATTACTTTTTTGTGGCTCCCATGCCTCTTCTCATTCTATTTTTTCTGCCTAGAATTCTCTTCCCACTATTGCCTGTCCAGTGAGCACATCCTTTGAGAAATGTCTGCATCCTTTTTAAAAGATGAGATATAATTCACCCTTTTAAAGTCTATGAGGTCTGTCCGGAAAAAGTCCAGCCATGGTTAATATGAAGAGAACAGTTTGCACGACATCAATGTAACCTGGCAGCCAGGGAGAGTGGCCTGGAATGTGCATGTGTGAATAATGACAACTTCACTGTACTAGTCAGCAGGGGCTGTAGACACCATTGAGTGAGCATGTGCACTGTGTGGCCCTCACATTCTAAATGACTAAGCAAGTAGAACAACGAATCTGCATCAGATTTTTCATTAATCTTGAACATTCTTCCTTGGAAACTATTTGGGTCATTCAGAAGGCCTCAGCTGTGGGCAGCTGGCAATGCACCAGTGTATGCATCACGTCTGTGCAGAGCTTTTTGGCGAAACATCAAATCACCCAGATGACTCCGCCCCCTACAGCCCAGATTTGGCACCCTGCAACTTCTGGCTTTTTCCAAAACTCAAATCACCTCTGAAAGGGAAGAGATTTCAGACCATCGATGAAATTCAGGAAAATATGATGAGGCAGCTGATGACGACTGGGAGAACTGTGTGAGGTTCCTACTTTGAAAGGGATTGAGGCATTGTATTCCTATGTACAATGTTTCTTGTATCTTTTTTAATAAATGTCTCTATTTTTCATGTTACACGGCTGGATACCTTCTGGACAGACCTTATACAATTCAGTGTTCACAAGGCCATCCAACCACCACCACTAATTCCAAAACATCTTTACTACACCGAGAAGAAACCCCATTCCATTAGCAGCCTAG